CAGCAGGAAGAACGTATTTCATCAACAGGGGCTGGCCCTAACACTTTGCATCCTTAAAACAAGACGAGGTGGCTTTTAAAAGACATGTCGAAGTCCAGCGCAGAGCTGTGTGGCTTGTGTTACGCCAGCAGCAGGCCTCTGCCATCACAGGGGAGTTTTTGGTCTGTGAATGGCAGCACTGAACTAGCTTAATTAGGACTGGCAATGTCTAAGTGATGAAATCAGTGCTGGTCACGTTAGCCCAGCTGGTTTTAGGTGCTCAGTCTAAAGCAGTGGATCTATTTCGAGTTTACACCAGTGTAGCTGATTTTAGCACTTCATACTTTAAAGTCCATGACAGATTTCATTCGTTCTCCAAAAGCCTGTGCCATGAGGGGACACCTTCAGAGCTGAGGCTGGCAGTGCCTTTCGAGGTGACCATGACCCCACTATTAGTTCAACCTCTTGCTCAACCAGCTGTGAAATCGGAAAACGTGGATTCCTGTTTGAAAAGGAGATACTATCTCAAGACAGTGCGGTAGTGGGTAAAAGAGCCACCGCTGCACAAGCACAGACGGCCTACGGCAGGAACACAATGATAGATTCACACTATCCCAAACATTTGCTGGGACGAAGAGGGCATTGAGGTATTAGGCAAAGAAGGTGCCATTTTGAGATCTTTCCCTGACCATTCTTTCTGTCTCTCTTGCCTCCCCTCATTTGCTTTCCTCTACTCCATCACATTTTTTTCAGAGACATGGTGGAGAAGAAGATCTCTGAGCTGGTTAGACATGAGGTTACCAGACAAGGAGGATGCAGCAGGCTAGGAAGTCTTTCTGCATTGAAAACAGCAGCTCAAGGTCAGTCTGAAGTTCCAGAAGAGGAGACTAAGCCTGCACCATGACCACTTCAATCTTGGATCAAAATGCTAACGTTGCCCCAAGTCTGGGGACAGTCGGTTCTCTAAGCATTACTCAAGGTGTATCTGCCGACGAATAAAAACAAATAGAAAGCTGATGAAAATCAGAGAGAAAGAAAAAAAGTGTACTGCAATGACAACACCTTGTCATGGTAAGCCCATAAATGGACATTTTACATACACCAGGCAAAAATTTTCCCCCAAACCTTAAAGAATAACCACAAAATTCATTTTTCGTGTCACTTAGCAGACACATTCAATGAGGATTTTCCAGCTGTGCTTTTAGGCTGCCAAATTAATTGGGGTAGAGACTCTTCCCCTGCCTTTGAAATGAAAGGTGTAGCTTTATGAAGAGTGGTTGTTGTTGGACAGATCTTCCCAAACTTCCCTTCTCATTTTCTGAACTTCCATTTCACAAAATGGCGTTTTTATCTGTACAAGATCTGCTTGGAATATCCTTGGGGATTTCCCTTTAAAAGAGACTTTGGTTTGAATGTAAACTGCAAAAACACCCCAAGGAAGCAAAAAGCCTGGCCTGCAGCCACCCTATTGTCTGGGGGGGGGAGAGAAAACACAGCGAGAGAGAAAATATGCTCTATAATCACAATGCTTTCAAAAGAAAAAAAATAAGACACAAATCAAATGCTTTCTTGAAATGCCAAAACAGGGGTCAGGTTGGTAAATTCCATGCTTTAATCTCAGCCAAAATCCTCCACTGAAAAGGAATTATGAATACCAAAGGGCAAATGTCTCATATTAGAAACATCTTTACGGCAGTGATGAAAAGTAAATGGGTCTTTCCAAGAAAAAGAAATTCCCCTTGTTTTCCAGTTCATTTTGAATAGATCATGGGCTTCTTTGTACTTAGCAACTAACTCATGGGGTGTGTGTGGGTAATTACATGTACTAGTTCTACAGACACTCGTACGGCCACTCACTCTGGAAGAGGTATCTACACGGTGCCGGCTTTTGGCCAAGCCACAGTGCTGTCACCCTGCCCTTGAGACGTGATCCCTCCACAGACAGCTGAAGCCGATCGAGATGTGACTGCCCACCACGGTGCGCTGCCATCTCCCTGTGCCCACGGGGCTGGGGCTGGGAGATGGGAGGCCTGACTCTCCCAGTCCACCCCAGCACACACTACACTGCCTTTTAAACAGAACGGAGTGGGCCCACTCATAAAGCTCCTTACAGCGACTCAGCTGTGGGATGTTCTGGAGGCGTTGAAAAATAAGGACTTGTCTGACCATGCTTGTGCATCCTAGAAGTGCTGCTTCTGAATTGCCAGCTCAGAGAAGAAGGCGGCAGAGTCCCTTGGCCTCATTCTTGATGGCCTGGCACCTCATATTGGTACTCACTTCTGGGTAAAGTGTGGCAGTAAATGTTTCCAGTACTGTCTGGTGGGATACAGGATCCTGGTGGTATATGAAATTGGAATGTGTAGCCAGCTGAGCTGACTCTAAAGACTAAAAGATCAGGACTCAGACCATCAAACCCACAAACTAGCAGAATGCAGCTTAAACAGCGTAAGATTTTAAAAACAAAGGAACTGTAAATTTCTTGGAATTTTTCTGATGTGCCTTAAATCTTTTTGAGGGAGGAGTGCAAGTCAGCAAAAAGTTTCTTTCCTTCTTTTTTCAAATAAATGGCTCCATAAAAAAGTAGTCCCAGGAACTGAACACTTGAAGGATCCTATCAAATGTCATTAAGACTGGCAGCATCATTGTTCCTTTTGCAGCTTATGAGAATACGGTGATTTGAGACCCCACTTCAGGCTTTTAACGCTCAGAAACAACTCCCCTATTTGCTTTTTAAGGTCTGCAGCTCCTCTGTCAATAGGTGGCAATAAACATGATTGCTCCCGTCTCACAAAGAAAACTGCTGCCGTTGAAGTTGTCTGCTTCCACTGCTTTCACCAACAGCTTTCTCTGTCTATCCCTGTGTTTCCTGAACTTGCCAGGGAAATCTGTGTTTCATAAGAGCTCTGCCTGCAGCAATTGGCTCTCTGTTAACACTTCTTCCATCATTCTGGTTCTCCTGTCTAACATATGCTATGTGAGCAGGATGGGCCGTGCAAAACTCTGCTACCAAGGCACTGGTGGCAGCAGAGAAAGCTGATATCCTCCCCAGGTGGCTTCTAGTGCCCACCAAATATGGTGGCACAGAGCTGTCCCCAGGCCTGAAAGGCATAGTCCACCAAAGGGAACAAACTGGGCATGGATGAAGTCCGGGGGCTTACCTGGGGAAGTGCTTGTACCACTGTGTCCAGGAGAGCTCGCATCCCCGTGGCCATTTTAAGCAGTTTCAGCACTACAATGAGAATCAAACCCTGGTCAGCAGGGCTGGGAAACGTCAGGCAAAACCCATAAAGGTAATCTAGCTTCAGATCTTGTGGGGAAGATTTACATCTTTCTTGCATCTATTCATACAGATGGCAAGCTGACTGCATCCTGGCAGGGCCCACAGAACATCTGAACAACCTGACCACTTCCCACACCAATTAATGTTAACGACATCAGTAAAACAGGCCAAAAGCCAGAAGAACTCCAGCGTGCCCTAGCAGGAAAAAGGGACCGTGATGGGGAGACACTTCATCAGTGAAAAGCATCATCTCAAGTTCTGATCTTCCCTTCTCCACCGCTTCCCGCTCTTATCTGGTATCAGCATAAAAGGTCTGTGATGCCAGGTTTGAATTAGAGACCAAACTAAGATGCGACTGGAAACACCTAGGAAACCCCACCTAGCTTGTCTCTGAACCGACATTTTGCAGCCTCATCGCCTATCTGTTCTCAAGTTGAACTGAGACTGCAGGACTAGAAGAACAAATGGGCAAACCATTTCCCGACGTGTCTGGGGGGATGGCTGGGGACGTACGGAGCAGGCCATACCTCTTGCGATTCTCAGCACCCGCATGATGCGTATTATTGTGGGATTGATGGGCAGTGCAGCATTCATCTCAATTTCCTCCAGCGTGATTCCCACAATTGATAAGAGAACTATGGCCAAATCCAGCTGATTCCACCTAGCAGACAAAGAGAGGAAGGACAACAACAACAAAAAAATCACACACGGACAGACACCCAAGTGTAGAGAATTATCTGTTAATAACAAGAACAAGCAGATCCCAAATGCCTTTCTTCTCTCATATCTGGGCTCATGATCTTCTGTGTGGTACAAAATCAACTCACTGCAGCTGGCACAGCCAGCCTCTGAGCCACAAGCTGCTGCAGGCTATGACTGGGAAGCATCCCTGCCTGTTGTCCCCCCGCTATCCCCCTGGAGCCACTCTCAGGGACAAGATACTAGGCTAGAGGGACCTTTGATGTGATGTAATGCAGCTGCTCCCATGTTATGTCACCTCTGTCTTGAATTGAACTGCACTTGAGTATCTTCACTGATTTATAGCCTAACACTTGCAGAGGATCTTCCACACCAGCACCAGAAAGATGGCAAGATGTGAAGAAATTGATTGTCTTTCCTACGTAATTTCCCTCATTGCTTGTAGCAGCTTCCAACCACTCAGTCAGGATGTATGAAGCAAACAGGCTGCTCTTGTGGAGAAGTGTCCAACCTTACCCTGCTCCCCAGCAAGCCGCCAGACCACAATGCACTTTCACACACTTCTGCTTCTGGCTAAATGCGACGCAGAAGATCTGTAGGTTTCTGCAGCTGGGATCTGAAGGCAGTGGGGCTGAACACAACTACCTCTGTCTTTGCCAAAGGTAGCCAGCAGTCTACCACGGGACTGGTTTGGGCTGCAAAGAAGGCTTGTTCTGAGGAACTCTGTGACCTTAGGTTGCCAAAACTACACTTTTGAGGACTGGATTGATGCTAACAGGTTGTTTCTGACCTCTAAGCTGAGCAGGTCAGACCTGGTGGAGAGGCAGGTCCTGGAGGAAAGAATGTATCGAAGTTCTGTAAGATTTCCTGAATTCCTTCTGCAAAGCAGTACCAGCAGTTCTTAGAATTTTCAGTTCCTGCACTAGTAAGTTTGCACCCGTGGAGAGACAGCCCTTTGCTCTTCCTCGCACACAGCATGTAGTACAATCATAGTAACGCTACATTTATCCAGCATCTGGCTTTGCAACTGGGTCAATACAGCTTTATCCCAAATGCACAGGAGTTTAAAATACTCTCACCTGTCCTTAAAGAACCTTCGAAACCCAAACGCCACCAACTTCAGCACTGCCTCGAACACAAAAACTATGGTGAACACATAGTTGCAGTACTTCAGGGCTTCATCCAGGGACTGAAAAGAGAGACAGCCATTAGGGCAGCCCAAGCTGTCCTCACCCAGAGCTCCTGCAGAGGACCTGGCAGGCACGAGGGTGGCATAAGCACAGAGATGTAAGAAGGAAAGTCGTAACAGCTTGCAGAGCTCAGTTACAAAACTGCACTAAATCATACAGCAAAACTCAAATAAAGGGTTAGACAGCGACGCAAACAAAAACCTCCCGAGCACTAACACTAGTTGTGCTAAAAATGTCAAGAGCTATCAATTCTCCAACTTCAGTGGACAAATTGTTCAGTCTGGGTCAGAGAGAAGCTTTTACCCCTTCCCCATCCAAGGAAATTTAATTCTTCTGAACGGCCTAGGAACTGGGTGGAATAAAAGCCTTGATGGATCATTTCTTTATTCCAGCATGGCAACCCTTAGGACAATGGCTTCGCTTAAAACACTCAGAAAAATAAATAATGTTGGAGACAGATTAAATCTTGCCTTCTTGAAAAATGTTACACCTCTAGAGCTGGGCAAAGTATGTCCATATTTGGTGCAATGTTCACGCTCTCTATAGAGCTGCTCTCGGAAGTCAGGAATCCGCAGTGTTTATACTTTAAGATGATGAGTGTTTATAACGGATTTCATTAGAACTGCAGGCCAACAATAGCAAAAGAATCTTGCTGGGGCCTTAAAATAGATAGTTGCAGAGTAAAACAGCTCTTTGGTTGGGTAGGGTTTTGGGGAGAGGAGGGACAACCGTTCTTTCCTGACCCCAGACATGTGGGATGACCATGCACTCTTTTTGGGGAACAAGAGCTGAAAGTTTTTCAGATGCTGGCACTCCTCAGTGCACTACTATCCCTATTTTTGTCCCAGTGCCTAAAAAAAAGTGGCAACTTACAGGAATGTGGGACAATGTACTTTTTCATCTGAAGCACACTGCCTGAGCCTGAATTCTTGTATCATTTGTGATGGTTTGCGTTACATGAATATAAAACAAGTATAAATAAGACCTAATCTGGACAAATCACACTTACATGCGAAACAAAGGCTGTCATGCAAAGGAATTACGGGGGCAGAACAGCAGACAGTCAGCTGGCGTAAACCAGGCAGGCGTTACCCTGTGGCTTGGTGCCCTCTGGCTCAGCTTCCAGAAGGCGTTTGCAGGTTACCTGGCAGACCAGGCAGTACTGCAAAAGCAAACCCTGAGCCTCGAGCTCCGTGAATGATCATGCAACGGCAGAGTAATATATGCGGCAAATGGACAGGCTGTATGATTTACGCCAAAGGTTTTCTTGGGAAAGAAGGATTTGACAATATACAAAGAAAAGAAGGGTTGTGCTTAAGAGTTGGTTTATTCTAAATTCACTGAGGAAAAGAAACGTTGCTGTGCATGCATTAACTTCACGTTTATATCCGCTAATGGAATATTCTAGAACTCTGGACTGTTTTACAGTCTGAGGGTCAGTCACAGCAGGGATTGGGAAAGGAAATATTTGGACTGGTTTTTTCCTCATAAAAGTTTAGCTCACTCTCCATTAGCCTTATTCTCTGCTTTTTTATGCATGAGCAGGGAAATAAAGCTTTTGGCTGGGGTGACCCCCGAATGGTAGAGCTGGCCTAGAGTTAGACGGATTGCAATGCTGAGCCTGGAGCCTGCTGAGGCTTTCAAACACCACGGAAAGGCCCCAGGGAGGCAGGGCTGGCTGCAGACCTCACCAGCCAACGGTATCCCAAGAGAACAGCATATGGTCCTCAGGTCCTCTGCCACCCCACGGCGCTGCGTCTCACAGGCAACGCACCGACGGATGGCTCTTACCTTTGGCTGGTTGTAGTGCTCCATTGACATAGTGATGACGTTGACTCCAATGATGAATGTGATGAAGAGGTCAAGGTAGTGGCTGGTGCAGAGGGTGTGAATGTACTTCCGCGCTGGGGAATAGTCAGCGTAGTAAGGCCTGCGTTGGGCTTCTGCAGAAAAAGAGGAAGAAAGGCAACACAATGAACGCGGGTCCTGCCGCATGGCTGGCAGCCATCACAACGTGGCCTGCAGGTCGTGTCTTACGGATGCCCAGATTCATCATCTGGGAGAACAGATTCAAGCAAGCCACGTGAAATGGCCAAATGCTTCTACCTAGAACCTTCAAGAACCACAGTGGGGTTATCAGGCTGACCCAAACCTCTTGTGCCTGCAGCAGGGACCTCCACGGCTTTGACAACCAGGTCCGTTTTCCTCCCAGGTGCTCTCTGTTCTTACTGCTCTCTCTCAGGCTAGAGGACAACCTTTTCGCTTAATGAGACCCTTGTCACAAACCAGGAAGGGTGAGAAGCAGGTTGGAAATGAGACTCAAAGCCAAGAGAAAAGCTTCAAACCCAGCAAAGATTCAGCTCCGGTTTAGAGGAAGGGCCGAGGGCAGGTCTCATCGGTCTGGGCTCTGATATGCATCTCTCCTAATCCCGCTGATGTTAAGCATGTTCCACACAAGTAGGGGAAGAACATAACCTCAGCTTCTGTGAGAGAAGGCTTTTGGTGTATTTTAAAGCTCTAAAGAAAAGATAGCAATGCCTATGGCAAAGAAGGACACATGTGAGGGTTAGCAGCACACAGGAGAGCATCAACAGTGATGGAGCGGGGTGCTCAGCATGTGTCTCAACATGTACCTAAGGCCAAAGTCAGCATTACTGTAGATTTTGCAACTGGAAGAGACATGTTAGGTCATAGTGAGTCAGAGCAGGATTGTTCTCAACAGAGAGGGATTTTTTTCCAAATGTTTCAGCAAATTCAGCTTTAAACGCATGAGGAGCTGGGAAAAAGGAGTTGCCTCACCTTAAAAATAAGGATGGAAGTAGGTTCAAATGCACTGAGTGACCCCCTGAAATACCTTTTCCACTCCTCTCATCTTCCTAATGTGTTTCAGATGGAGTGACTCTTAAAATGTGGGGGGATTTTTTTGGTAACTGCTGCCAGATTAGAGTCCAAAACCCTAAAATAAATAGAATAAAGGGAAACTGAATCTGCTGCTGTCTTTCCAACTACTATTTTTTCTGGTAGTTAAAAGTGGAGTGGAGGCATCTGAAAAACATTTCCTTCTGACTGGGGTCACCTAGACTTATTTTTTCTGCTAACGGGTGTGGAAAAACAAGATGAAAGCAAACACAATTGCTTTTGAATACATTTTTCTGTTGCTTTCATGTGCCTTACTCCTATCAGTCACCTTGGACTGGCAGGGCTGTCTTTGCTACTGAGCTCGGCTAATCTTCTGGTGTGTCTAAAAAATAATAATAAACACATTGCAGTATAATATTTATTCAACTCTGTACAATGTGCTTTCAAGCATATTCAGGATTACAACATACTTTTTCTTTTTTTTTGGGGAATGTCTTCTTGGGAATGCAAAAAATCAGCTTGTTGGGAGCTCTGAGAATACCCCAAATAGTCGAATGTTATATGAAGGGATTATTTATTAATGACTAATGGTTGATTAATGGATCTCAGAAGAGCATTAGCAGTGATGGGCGGTGTGTCGATCCACTGGCTAGCGGCACGTCAGGAAAACAGGCTGTAGGTGACTGCAGCTATTCTCTAACCTGCCCCAACACGGCCATTGATTAATTATTCAGCAAAAGCTCAGGTGTTTATTATGTTTTATAAACTACTTCTATAATTCTAAAGCATAACCACAAGAAGACATTTTCCGCTGTAAAGCTGCCAAACAGCAAACCTTCTAGGCTGCCGGTCGGCAACGCAGCGCTCTCTTTACAGGGGCTGGATATACCAACAGTGAGGAGGAACCACCCAGCCGTAAGCGTGGGTCTGTTTTATTGAGCAAAAATGTCTCAGAGGTCTGTGCCTGTACACTCTGCCAGTGCTCAGCGCTGGCTATGCCTGGTCAACCGGTTGCTGAGAAAACTTGGGACAGGTTTACCTTGACCTGGGATGAGGGAGCCCTAGGAAATGCCTTACTCGTTTAGGATGCACTACATCCCTGAAGCCAGGTTAACAGATTAAAAAGAAACTTCTCCTGGGGGCACACATACAAGGACAGTCCGGGATAAAGTTGACAAGACCTCGAAACACATGCAACAACACTGTCATGCTCAGTGCAGCAACCCATGCAATGTCCATTAGAGGAGATACCGCTCATGCGAGGCTAACGGTAGTGAGCAGGGGGTGCAGGTAGGACAGGCCAGCTCCTGCTCTTGGCGATGCTGGTGTTAGGCTGGGATGGTCTTGTAAAGGCAGATGGGTTGCAGCAGGGTGAAAGCAGTGAGAGACCAGCCACACAGCTTCACTGCAGCTCTGACCCCTCCGAGCAGGAGGAAGGCTGCGTTTCAGAGCTCCATGACCCCTGGCTCTGCTGGGTCACTGTTCATCCCTGGTCGCTTTAGGAACAGGAGTTTTACTTCAGTCAACAGCACAGCAAGTGGCTCTGCCCTCCTCTCAGTTCAGACACATTTTTACCTCTTAGTGAGAGGTAAAACTACGTTACTAACTATGTTATTTTCCCCAGTTTGGGTGTAAGCGTTCACTGCACACACCTACTGCCACAACCTGCTCAACCAGAGATGTGGGGTCTCCAGGAGCACCTGTATGAGGAAAACAGTGGACCACGGGGATGTGGGCACAGCAAACAGGGGGGATCTAGTGCATCATTAATTACAGCAGGAAAAACATAACCTGTGCCTGGTTTCTCCAAGGAAACAGTTTCTGGGATGAGACCCCAATCAGCCATCCAGCAGACTGACATCAAACACAGACAAGTATCCCTGCAGCTGACAGTCTGAATTGGTGGAAATGCAGGAGGGAAAGGAGAAACCATCAAACATATGCAAAAGGGAAACCACAGTCCTTTCTCGCTCCCACTTCTAGATGTTGGCTAATGCTTCAATCTCACCTCTCTGAAGAGTATTTAAACTTCTTTGCTTGTGATTCTGCTGACATGAAAACTAATGAAGCACTGTCTCCTAGCTTAAAAGCATTTAGGTTGGCATTACAATTGCTAGCTACAGCTCCTCCATTATTCTTCTCTGCATGAAACATTAGAAAGCCCTAATGGGTTTATATGCATGCTTGGCACAGAGCAGTTCTATACCTGCAGCTGCCTGGAAAAATAAATAAGCAAGATGGTTTGATAATTCCCTAGTTGGAAGTACTAAACACTCAGTGCCCAAAATTTAAGTTACAGCTCAAATGTTTCTGCTGGATACAGAGACAGTTGTGGCATTGAGAGGATGGAATAATTTATATACCACTGTGTGCTGCCCACCATTGCTCACCCCTAGAGAGAAAGGCTTCCAGTCAGGGCTCTGAAAGGCATCTCTGCTGGGTCTTACAACAAAACTGGCCTCTTCTACAACGCCCAGACGCTCTGCTCTGTGTTGGGAAATCTCTGTCAGAGACACGCGGCTGTGGCCACGCTCCTCTCGTCCAGAGCAGAAATCAGGAAAGAGCATTTGCCTTTCCTCAGTTCTCATTTTTTGGGGCCATCCCAGCGACTAGTGACTGGGTGGCACTGCTGAAAGGCACCCTCTGCTCCCCAGGGCCGTGTCAGGCATGTCCAGCTTTTCCAGCACTGCCTGCTCTGCTCTTGACACACAGAGTCACCCAGACCCTGCCTGCAGCCTTTGAAGCCCAGCTATCGCCTGCCTTTGACCCGACACCGTGCTCTGCTCAGTGGGCCAGCGGCTGCTGGCTTCACCGCAGATACACGCGGGTTGGGTTTGGCCCCGTATCCTGAATGCAGAGGAGATCCAGCTGATCCATGTGGTTTTAATCAAAAACTTTAATCTGGGGAGGCTGGTTTCAGTTTGTGTCTTCCGAGAACCTCATTAAAAGGTTAGGAGCTGCAGGATTATTAAATTACACTACACTTATTTACATAGTAGATGTAGTGGATGGGAGGTAGTGACTGCATCAGAAAAATGTTCTAGTTTAGCTTGAATTTTTACCTTCACGTGAAAAAGTACGCTGTGCATTTCTGCCTTTAAAACCACACCACGTACATTTCTACAGTGTATTCAACCCCCTGCCCTCTTCTCTCATGTGAGCACAGCGAACTGGCAAAGCTGGTGCCACCTTTCAGTGCTGGCCCTGGCCTCAGCTGAGCTCACTGCAGCCCAGTTGTGCAGGCTGGGTGCTGCGGCCGCTGCTGCAGTGCCTCGCTGACGTGCTGGGTCCATGAGCTCTGCTTGTCACAGGAGCAGAGAGAGACAAGGCACGCTGACAAGTGGTGTGGGTTGTCACCCTGTCCCAGTCTCTTCATGAAAGTGGCCCTCAGAAACAAGAAACTTTCTGGGAAGGTCTGAGGTGGTGTCTGGTAGCAGAGATGTGGGCTGAGACGGACTCTCCTGCCAGGATCCTGAAAGGCCTGAGAGGCATCACCAAAACAGACAGGTGGTGATTCCCCATCCCACTTGCACGGTGTCTAATGTAGGAGCTGTGTCCTCCATGGAGCAATCCCTCTGCCAGGCTGACAGATCTGCACACGGGGTCCAAATCTGGGACCCAACCTGCAGAGCCTGGGGTTCGTACCTAGGGCTTGCGTGGATGGGACCATCCAGGCACCGAGAAGCTGAGGCTTAACCCATTTCCATGCCTGAGCCCACGCCTACCATGGCTCACTGGTGCGTTTCTGTGTGTGTAGGTACCTACAGCTGCCCAAAGACCTCAATGCACAGCAACACACACAGGGGACATTACAGACAGGAGACAGGACACAAGGACAAGATGCCAGGCAGACAGGCCGAGTCCAGATGGACAGGCGTTGCTCAGAGAGTACATCTATTAGCTAGGCTAGATTTTACCCTTGTCAACAGCCCTCATTTTTCCTCCCCTTACGGTCTGTTCAGGCCAAATGCTAGAAATGGCAGCTGAAGGAAAAGCAAGGCTCTCTGCTGGGCTTTCCAACGCAGGCTCCTTGCTCCTCCACAGAATCACCGGTCTCCTGTGCCCATCCTGCCCAGTGGGCACTGGTCTCTCACCTGCTCCTCCGTATGGGTGAGACACACAGTGCTGGAGCACATAGAAAGCTGGCCAGCCCGCTGTCACTGTGCAGCATCCCATGCCGGCATGTGCACACAGACATTCTGCAGAGACTCACTGCCACGCACAGCACCAACCACATCTCGCATCTTTCTGAGTCTGCCACATTTCTTCACCAAATCCATCATCATCTAAATTACCCAGGAAGTGAAAGCTCCTCCCACTTAAATTATAAAAAAATCCATTAAAATGTAAATAATAATCCCCCCAAATGTGTATCAGATATTTGATTTCACCTTGTTGACAACTCAAATTTGGATGCCAAGCTGTCCATGCTGAACTCAGGCAGGGAGGAGACCTCAGAGCCAGATGATCTGAGGTAACCTCCTGGAAGCCCAGCACATGGCCAAACGTTTAGACTCTCGGTTGCTATATTGGACTTGATCCCCTTCCAGAAAGCTGTCCTCCTCCCCACGTGCTCTCAGTGAAATGTTACAACCCACATCTGTGCAATGCCTGGGGCTGCGGTCTGAAATATCTCCTTGACTCTGTCCTTCGAGACAGCTGGATAAAGATGGGCAATGTAACAGTGTCCATCACTTTGATAGGGACTGGCTCTTCTTGGTGTCTAAGCAGCGAACCACAGACAGGCGTGCATTAAGATTTACTTACTAATTAGGAAAAGCAACCGGCTGTGGTTAAGCGATCCCTCCTTACCTGTACCCCAGTCTATTTTCTCTAAGGACACTCAAAGTTCTTTGTAAATAAGCTTTGGTTTTTTTTTTCTCCATATAAACTTTGAGTTTATCTGAATGTCTTCTTGACTCAGCACATTGGTGTAGAAATACTGCACAGGCAGGAGGACTCTTGAGAGCCTGAAACTGATATCTCTTTTTGTGTTGGAAACGCTGCCTTCAGGAGTTCCGCTTCTAATCCTAGCTGGAACCTCAAACTCAAAAACCAAAACGGGAAAAGGGAAATGAAATTGCATTTGAACTCTTCCAAATCTCTGAAGAGATTCAACATCCATTTGCAGCTGGCTAGTTTGATCTAGGTTTCATTTTAACCCAGCTACTTCACTCACAACTAGCTACAATGAAATGGGCTTGGCCTTCACTGTGGTGTCAGGTCAGTCTGTTGTGAAGGCCCTGTGGAGACCACGGCATAGACCTTTAGTGCTGAAGTCTCCCATAGCTCTAATAAAGAGGACCACAAGAGCAGAGGAGGAGCTGGGAGGGATACAGCTGCCTGGCTTTGGACTCAAACATGGACGGATTGAGGAAATTGGCTGGGGTTTCTACTAGCAAAGCCTCTGACTGCTACGTCCTTAGAGCCAGGCAAAAGACTATTCTATCTAACTCCAGTTTTCCCAGCTGAAAATGGACACCTATGGCTTGATGTGTGGGAGACAGCTAGCTGTTTGTCATGGTGAGATATTAGGTCCTTACAGGAGAGATTAGACAGGGCAGCACAGCGCTAGGCAAAGAGCCACAGGACTGCTGCGGCGAGGAGGGCCAGAAACGCTCAAGCCTTACCCCTGACTAAGCTGAGCTTTCATCACAGTGGCCAAGCCATTTTCCCTCACTTCCAAAAAAGGCTTGCCAGCATCTCAGGCAGGCTACCCCTGTTCACTAAAACGGGCTGGGAAGTCGGGGAGACTGGTTTCCCGGCAGTTTCCCTGGCGATACCCACCAGATGCTATAGGCATTGCCCTGGTGGAGCCTGCCAAGGAGCGGTGGAGGTGAGAATTAACACGTGAGAATCCCTGGGAAGGTTTGGGTCAGGAAAGGAGCACAAGCTCAGGTGTTTTCTTGGTCTGGTTTGATGGTTCCTACTAGATCTGCTGAGAAGCAGATTTCAGCTAAAGGCCTTCTGTTGCACCCTAATGGCCCTGCATCTGGCCAGCATTTCCACGCAGACTGTTTGCAAGGACAGAATGAGTCCCAGCTCAGCAGTGAAGGGCTCCCCCAGCCTGTGATGGGGCAAGCATCTCTGGTAATGGACATCTTCCAGTGAAGAATTTTCTGGACAGCCCCACTCTCGGGGCCCCGTTCCTCTCCCCAGGGCTGTCGGTTTGTTCATGCCCTCATGCAGCATGTTTGTGGCATGCGGGGCCATGCGCTATGACTCTAAAAAGCATCGCCGTTATTTTGTGTAAGAAAAGAATTAATAAATCAAACCACCACCATCATCAGATGCAAGCGGCACGTTAAGCCACAGGGTGACCCTCGGGACTGGCCTTCAGGCACACAGTAAGCATTGCGGCTGTCTACTCACTGCATCCCTCAGTCACACCGCAAGCGCTCGCTCGGTGCTTGGGACACCTTTGCCTTGCAGAGCACGACAGAGGGAGGACTCCGTTTGGGGGAGGATTTTCTCCCCAACCAAGTAAACAGGTAATGCTTTACATCAGGCTTGGAGAGGACAATTCCAGGGTGTTGGCAACCCAGGACTTAAGGTACCGCCAAAGAGGTAACGAAGCAAAACAACCTCTTGAATCCCATGGAAACAAAACCAAAGGAAAATGAAAGTCTTGCTTTGGGAGCAGGCAGGGCTCAGAAAGATTTTGGTTTGTAACGCAGTCTACCGACCAGACAGGTATATCTCCTTACTCCTGCGCTTTTTCTCCAAGCGTCTCAGGCGCTTCTCCTCCCGACGCCGGGCCTCCTCCGCCTCCTGGTGCTGTCGGCACTTGTGGAAGTTCTCCACCACCACCCCTACAAACATGTTGAGCACGAAGAAGCTGACGATGAGCAGGAAGGAGATGAAGTAGAGAAGCATCCAAGGGTTATGGTTCTGGATGGGCTGGTGAGGTGGGGAATTAAAAAACAAGAGAGAAGAGAAGCAGCATAGACAAGATGTGGGTAAGTCAGGATTTTGGGTACTCTGTAGCAACAAGACAGAACAGCATGCTTTTGTGGGGAGGAGGAGAGGGCTGGGAGGAGTTAGGAGATTTTTCCCAAAACAGTTTCCTCTCATCCACTTTCTGGAATTTTACTTTTGTTGTAAAACCCATCCTAGCCTCTGTACAGGATTTCATTATTTTGGCATTTATTTCATACAGCTTCAGATAAATCTCAGTGGACGTGCATTATCCCACCTGCGAGATCATTTTAGTTGAAGATAGGCTCCAGCTTATCTTTTTTTTAAAGATGTGGGCTCATGGTTAATGTTTCTCAGTTGCTATGAGATCTTCAGAAGCAGGGGAAAATTAAGTACATAGTGTTACCATAGCTACGATGGGGTACTACTCATTTAAGACCCTTGACTTTCCTTTGCAAATGCCACATAACACAAACTTAACGTCTCTTTCACAACATTCCTGGTTGTTTCCCATCTTGTGTGAGTTTGCTCTTACTCATCATGCCTTCCACGAAGCTGCGGTGCAATGGCACGTGTGGCCCTCCTCAAGTAGCATCATTCTAATTAAGAACGCCATCAGTGCTTGTTTGTCTACTACATGGGGCGCAGCCACTGTAAAAGTTACTCAGTGGAGAATGGAAAACCTTGCCAGCCCAACAGGCAGTCAGGAACTCAAGAAGGTCCTATAGATCTGCTTCTTCCTGGGACTTCAAAAACACCAGAGTCACCCAGGCATGAGACTTCCGAGAGCAACACATCTGGACTCTGCAGTACGTTTACCTGTTGGTCAATACCCACGGCATCCAAGCCATCGTACATGATGTTCACCCAGCCATCTTTGGAGGAGAGGACAAACAAGGACATGAGGGCCTATAAGAAAACAAACAGCAGAGATTGGTCTTGCACTTTAGTCCCCATTAAAGAAACTAACAGCAGACAATGCTCAGCGAAACCCATCCACAGCTCATAACACATCATCTGGCCTGGAGCTGGTGGAGAAACACAAAATATTGTGGCTTGCTTTTACCCATTTCTATATCTGGCTTAAAAGTGAGCAAACTATGGTCATTAATGTTCTTTTTGCTTCTGACTTTTGCTCAGACACATCAGGCTTTCTGGTCACCAAAGCATGATTAAAAGTCAGGCTGGCCCAATGTCATGGGGTTTTAAAAAGCAACAGTATATCCCAGCTCCTGCTATGGGCTGTCTTGCCTTTCAGCCAGTATAAAGCACCTTATTTTTTTCATTTGCAAACATCACAGCTAGAAGTCAAGAGACTAAAAGTGGCAGTTGAGGTCCGTACATGAGGGAGTGCATGCAGGAGCAGTGGCTTCACGACAACACTCTCCTATAAACAAGGAATCGTATAACCCTAGGAAGTCTGGCTGCGAGAGACCAACAGGTGACCTGATCCATTTTTACCCAGTTAGGGTTGCTTCTGATAGATGAATGCCTACATCGTTCCTGGAAACTTCTTATGATGGGGGTTTCACACCCTGCTCAAGGAATACATTTTAAGCGCTCACCCATTAAAAACCGGTACAGAAAATCCCTGCAATGAGGATTTTACCTGTCCCAAATTGTCAAAATTGTACTTCCGCCGAACCCATCTGTAGCGTGCGTTAGTGCAGTCAGTCTTCGTAGTGATGTTTTTTACATCAGAGCCATCACAGTAGTAAAACTTGCCTTTAAAAAGCTGTATTTGAGAAGCAACAAAAAAAGAAAAAACAAAAAAGAAGCAGCTTTGAAAAATCTGTCCCAATTTATCTTTCTTTCCCCTAGTAGAGTTGTTTGCCAAGTTCAAATCCCTTTCCTTTCCTTCCAGCTCAGACACCCGTCTTAACACACGTGGCAGGAAAACTCCTCTGGCGAAGCTTCAGGCCCTGAGACATTGCTGTGCATTGCCTCAGACGCAGAAGGAAGGTGACCCTGCAGGCCTGCCCTGTCTTGTTGGGAGGATGACAATCTCCCCTCTGAGGAAGAGATCTTGTATCCATCCTAGCGCACAGAGCCGGGAGGGATCTTGGGAATTTGTCTTTTCCATTCCCTACCATCAGGCAGGCTTAGTTGGTGCTATGTTGTTCATCTGGTAGATCTGCTCTTCTAATCCTAAGAACCTTCCCATGAGCAGATGCCAACCCCACCCCGGAGCATTTCTTCTAGAGCCCGGCTCTTCTTTCCTTGCACCTAACTAAAATCTCCCTTTGGAGACATTTAAGCTCATTACTTCCACCTTAACCCCAGATGGTGAGAAAAACAGCTTCTCATTTGCAGCAGTCACTTACAGATGGCTGTGGTGAGTGAAATACGCTACCTGGACCCCTAAAATCCCAAAGATAATGAAGAAAGCACAGCAGATGAGAACAATATTCCCAATAGGCCTCAAGGAGGAGATCAAGGTTTCTACCACCAGCTTCAGACCCGGGGCTCTGCTGATGACTCTGGAAAAAGAAAAAATGCAAAACAATAAAGCTTTTAATTTTCATGCACGCCCTGTTATGACATGGTTGCTTTTTCTCCTCTGCTTGGGCTGCAGCAGAGCTAACACAACCCTCCCCTGCCTGCAGGCAGCATTCAGAGACAATCAGTGACTGACTTGGACAACCAGAACATTCACAGTCACGTGAGATGGAATTAAAAAAGTGTAAGACACCCTGTCAGCAGGGTGCTGGGCAATTGCTCACCAGGAACGGTGAGAATGGAACACTGTCTATGGGCAGAATATCACAGAGGTTCCCACTACTGGGCTACCTGTACCTCAGTGCAGAGAGCTGACGCCCTCTGAGGTCTCTGATCCAAGCAGCGGGACACACACCAGGCAGGAGCCTGCTTCCCAACACAACATGCGTAAACAGCTTCGCAGTGGTACGAGAGAGCACGTCTCGACCTCTTTCTACAGGAATAAGTGCTCACCTGCCCTACTGGCCTGGGCCCCATCACAGCTTCTCAAAGAAAGTAATTTCAATTTGTTTCCTAATTAGTTCCTGGATTGACTCTTAGCTAACAGGAACTTGTGATCAACAGTTTCACAGCCAAAAGGTCAACCCATTAAAGAGCAGCTTGCTCGCTGCGAGGCCGTGAGAGGTTTTGGGTGTGTTGGAGAGCAAGTGTTTTCCTTTCCTGTATAAATGTCTGGAGAACGGCTTTCCCAGGGGCATGTGAAAAATGTGTTTGCACACGTTAAGCGTAACTAGCCCAAGCAGGCTTTTCTGGGAAGGTGGGTGTTTTGACTGAAGAACATCAAAGCTATTTTTAGGAGGGGCCTGGAGAGGGGAGAGGGTATGAGTCCCTGCAGGTAGCTTGAGCTTGCACGGCTAACGATGCTTTCATGCCTGCCAAACACAGAGAAAAGAGGAGAGCTGTACGCTGCAGGGACAAAGCATTTCAACAGGGTCTTGGTTTGGCAGCAAATAATGCGGCAGTCTGAACTGCACCTACAAAGTGTTGGGAATGGTCCCTGGAGTAATCCTAGAAAAGGCTGTGATAAGTGAAGCCATCGTGAGAGGTGATGAATTCCTCTCTATTAATAGGATCTGGCCTAGTTATTCTCCAAGGCCAATCCCCGTTATTCCCCTTACATTTACTTGTGAATTGCCTATGCCCTGCTCTCTGTTCCTAGTTATGTGTGCTAGATCGGGGCTCCGCGGCGCTGCCAGGCCAAGGCTTGGCCAGGGTGACCCCGAGTGGCTCCCGGTGAGCCAGCACTGCAAGGGGCCCCCAATGCCACCAGCAGAACAGAGCGTGGGAGCAAGAGAGGAGACAGAAACACTCGCAAAGTTACTTGTCACTATGGAAATACAGAGCGGCAGAGAAAGAGCTGTTGTTCTTGTGGTCATGGGCCTAAATAAGATCACCTCTTCCTATTACTCTCATCAGCAAGCAGCTCTCCATCACAAAGCCTACAGGTCTCAGGAGGTGCCTATCTTATTTCCCCTGAAATTTCATGAAAAAAGGCTTGTGTTTCTCGCCAAGCAGGATGGAAATAGAACAGGAGCTGTGAGCTGATAAAAATCCCCCAAGCATTAACACTCTTTGTTATTGCATAATCGTAAACAAAATACGAATTCTCTTTATTCCTCTTCTCAAATACTGAAAACGTCTCCCCTTCCTCTTCCTAGCTGAGAGTTGAATTGTTTTGCAGTAATGTTAGATATGCAGGCACGGGACAGCAGGTATAGATGCTGGAGCTTATCAAATTATTGTCAGCACCTGTTCAATTGCAAATTCCCTCCCAGCCAAGGCAACCTCGTTGCTCGGGAATGACTGCGAGGTTGTGCAGTTTAACAAGGAGCCAGACTGATTTGTAAAACAGTGATAAAACAGTGATAAAAATGCAGCGTGGAGGAGGCATTCACTGTACTAACTGCCGGAGTATGATAACACCTCTCACTCCAAACTCCATCCGCTCTTTTCCATGCTGGCGCAGATGAATTATATTGCAACTAATTTCACTGTTTTCAAACAGTTTCACTAGATAAGAGCTCCCCATGGATGATTCTACCCATACCGTGTTTCATCTTTTTGTGTTATTAAGCAAGACTTTGATGGATCGTGTGCATTTTTTCAAACTCCTTGATCTATCAACACAAAGCAAACTCGGTGAACATACCGGAGAGGTCTCAAGGTCCGCAGAAGTCTCAAAACGCGAAGGACGCCCAGAATCTTAGCTCCGCCTGCTGATGCCATGGAGACAATAATGTCAATGATAGATACAAAGACCAAGACTCCATCCAGGACGTTCCAGCTGCTCTGCAGATAGGTGTTCTCCCCAGAGAAAAAGCCAAGAGCTACCACCTACAGCCAGGAGAAGAGAGACATTTAAATCTTCATCCAGATCATAACTACATCATGCTCTGGTCTTTGCCAGGCCTGACTAAGGGCCATAGGATGAAGATGTAATTACCTTAACCATCATTTCAGCCACAAAGATTGCAGTGAAGATGTAATTAGACACACTTAGGAATATCCTTTCCTGTAAAACACAGAACAACAGAGAGAGGCAAGTTCTTAAAAGATGTTAGAAAACAAACATCTTTCATCTTGCAGGGTCTTGCCCTGACAAGACTAAGATGGGGGTGCTGCACCAAGGAAGAAAATGACTCGGGTACTCACTGTGCTGTGTGGGTCTATGTCTGGTCGCTCCAGTGCTATAGTGATGCAGTTCAGAAATATGAAGACCAGCACCACGTGATCAAACATTTTGTGAGCAATGACCTTCTGGCACATCACTCGGAACCTGAAGAAATGGTGGGGAGTAAAATATCCTTCAGATATCAGCAAGAGACTCTCACCCGAATGGCACGTCCTTGAAAGTCTTCAGCATCGTGCCAGCAGCATCAACCCAGGTGGTAAGCTAGTCTCTCCACAAGCTTCAGCCATTATTATCAATGCAGTAAACAAGATGTAAAAAGATGTAATAACAGCTATTATTAATGCTGGTTAAACTACCCTTCTTTCCTAGACAGGCATGGTGTGAACCATGCCACAATTCTACCCACATGTAACAGAATAAGCTACCTAAAAATCAGGAATTGGATTTCTAAAACTCTCAGTGCTTCTACATCAGAGAGGGATTTTTCTCAAGGAAAGGCTAGCTAGAAATGTAGCATGTCATTACCACAAAAACCTGGTGGGCTGGCATTTCACTGGGATTTCTTACCGATTCTGTGGGGAAAACAAGTAGAGGGACCAGTCTTCATGACTCTTGCACCACTGTGGTTTGTAGGGCTCCAGGACTTTACGAATTCGGTAGCAGTAACTCTGGATAGAAAAGAAGAAACACCTTTTCTTCCTCTTTTATTTTCCTGCCTCTTCAACTTTCGTGAAAGGGGGCAGTACATGGCATTTCACAGTGCCCGTAAGGAGTCACGGCCTTTGGACAAAGGTGTGGCAGGCATTGTCGCATTTGTCCAACAAAACAGGGAGGAAAGGGGTGGAAGAAAGAGGCTGCTACAAAACAAGATATGAACATAACAAAGCAAGACTGTCTAGGCAGGTACCATTTTGAAATCCAAAGTTGTGCCGAAACCAAAAAGGCCTCCAACAAACAAAAAGTTAAACACAGAACACTATTTCCAGGCTTTCAAGCCTTTGAGATGGCTAACAGCTCTTGTGAGTGAAGACATTAGCTAGCTGTTGTTTCTACAGCTCAGTTTTGGAGGCATCCTGGGCCCAGGGGACCATCTCAACCAGTCCAGATATAAGGCAAATGCATGCACAACCCCTTACAGTTTTACCTCATTAGAGACCACCTCAAGGTAACAGCCCAACCCATTAGCTAAAAAACCCCCTTTTGGAAGTGGATGTCCATCCCTTGGATCTGGATTCATTTTGTCTACACCAGCCATTAGGCAGTAACACATTTCAAAGCCTGATTTTTAATCAGCCTTCTTGGAGTGGAAAAGCCACTTAACGCATGACAGCCCAGTTTCCCCCTCAACTCACATCCTCCATGTCATCCTCATAGTCCATGGCATCCTCTTTGTGGCCGTCGACACGCAGGAAGAACTCGCTGGGGACGTGAACCATCTTGCCGTTGCAGTCTTGGTACTCAGCAGGCAGAACGGCCACGGGGCTGATACTGAGCGAGTGGCGCATGGTCGGCAACTGGAGCAGCTCAGGCAAGTCCAGGGAGCTGCGGTAGTCCAGAGACTCTGCCCGGCGGTGCAACGAGGGTCTGCTGACCGTGCTGGACTTGGCGTCATCGGAGTCATCGTCTGTGCTGCCTTTCCCCTCCCCGGAGAGCAAGGACTCTCTTTCACCTGACTGGTTCTTCTTCTTGAGGCTTGGGGCTCTGCCCAGGCTATTCCAGCTGGAGCGTCGGCTTCCCCAGTTGCTGCTGGTGCCCCAGTTGGCACAAGGGGAACTGCGGAGGCTGGACTGAGAGAGGAGAAAGACATTTGAGGGTTTGTTTGAAGGAGGAAGCCAAAGGATATGGCATTTTGCCCACATTGGAGGATCCTCCTTGTTGAAAGTGATGTCTTCCCCTCCCAGCTTTCCTCACTGCGCCGATTTCACCACGCCAGTGCCTTGAGATGGGAGCCAAGCACCCAGCTAAGCCCACACTGAAGGTACTCTTTGAACTACACCTGTAGCACAGCTACCAATCCTCTGTGCTGCATGACTTTCCTACTGTCCTGGCAACATTAACTGTGCATAAAAACTGAACCCAAAGATGCTACTGCTGAAGTGGCATTTTCTTTCCTCTTGTTCAAGTGGTTTCAGTCCCCAACTTGCCTGGCTCCAAATGCTTATAAATATCTGAAGGGTGGGTGTCAGGAGGATGGGGCCAAGCTCTTTTCAGTGGTGCCCAGTGACAGGACAAGGGGCAATGGGCACAAACTGAGGCACAGGAAGTTCCGTCTGAACATGAGGAAGAACTTCTTCCCTCTGAGGGTGACGGAGCCCTGGCCCAGGCTGCCCAGGGAGGTTGTGGAGTCTCCTTCTCTGGAGATATTCAAGACCCGCCTGGACCAGGTCCTGTGCAGCCTGCTGTAGTTGACTCTGCTTCAACAGGCGGGTTGGACTAGATGACCCACAGTGGTCCCTTCCAACCCCTACTATTCTGTGATTCTGTGAAAGGGGCTCTGGTACCTGAGTCACTCAAGTGTCTGTTGGAAATTGTGCCCCTATTTACATTACTTTCTCTTCAATTTGCTGCATAAGGAGGTGGAATGAATGTTTCTCTCACAGCAAATTTCTGGCACTGATTGGTGTGTTAGGGCACTTTGGTTGGCAGGTAGTTGCCAGGATGAGAGCACTTAAGGTCAGAGCAGAAAAGCTAGAAGGAAAACTCCTTCTCCCTTCACGGCTTCTTCTCAGCACGAAACGAGGCAAACTGCCTTTCTCCTTCTTCTCAATGTTGGCCAGCTCTCTTCTGACTGCTTCATTTTCCTTTGGCTGGTGGCACTGATGTGCTTTCAGAGAAAGGATTCAAACCATGAACAACCCTCTCCAGCAACTGACAATCCCATGAAACGCCAAGGCAAACAACAGTCATCTCTATTTTCTTTTCAAAAGCATTACCTCGACTAAGCAGCTTACCAAAGGCGATAGTGGCTCTGTCTGCATGAAGCGCCTTCACGGTCTGCTGCCTTGATTTGAACATGATATTGCAGTTACAGAGCACAGGAATGAGATAGATAAGCAACAGCAGAAATCCACTTTGTCTATTAACTCAGCTCCCTGTGTATTCACAGACCTGCCCGCCCTCTCCCCTGTTGCAGGCAAAATGCACTGAAGTTGCCAAAGCAGTCAGCTCCAGCCTGATCCCCGCTCCGTGAGCTGTGCCTGGTGGCTATCGGTCAGCTCATACCTTGTTCCCCTGCTTCCCCTCCAATGGGGCTGCTGTACAGTAACTGGCGCTCAGCTGCTGTGTTGGTAAAGACAAATGCTTCATTTCCCTCGTCACAAGGTCTCATCCTCACAGGAAAGCTCCAAGACACCACAAAATGGTCAGTGTGGGTGGCAAAAGATGCCTGCTCCTACTCAGAGGGGTTTTTTGGAATAACTGCATGAACTTACGACCTGTCTGAGGTTGTGTCTTTCCAGTGAGGTGGCTTGGCACGGACTCCCAATCAGATACTAGGCAGGAAAACACTAAATCCCAGAACATCCCTGTCTCCCATCTTCATACACTCACTGTATTTGACCGCTATGTTGTCACTATCCTGCCCCAGCATACCACACCCATTCATTTCTCCCTCTTGATTCTGTTCTCCTCCTGCCTTTCCACATACTTCTCACCTCTAACATCCTCCTTTTTATCTTCCAGGAATGCGTGCACGCACACACGCACATAAATATCACCTGTGCTGCTTGCAGGCACTTGAGGAGAGTTGTTAGCAACAGGAACCTACCAAGGACTTCTGATCGTAGCTCAAGGGGTCCAGTGAAGCGTTACTCCCTCTCCTCGAGTCCACAAAAGTGTGCACTGAATCCATGTGTGGGGAACACTTTGGTGTGGGCATTGGTGTGGCAGGGGGGCGCCTGATTATAGGAGGTGGCATGCTTCCCCTGCCCTCCAGGTGTCCATTCGGGGTGACAGCAAGGGAGTACATCTTCATCTCTGGAGAGAAGGGGAGAGAGAATACAAGGTGAATGCTCAGCTACATAAATTACTCTTCAAAACGGACATTGCTCTTAGGGTCTTCTAGGAACTCTGCCAAATGGAGATAAAATATTGTGGGCAATAAGATCACCTCCACCACGTTGAAGGGCATACAGCAAATGCCACAACCTTTTCAGAGGCCTTCAGCCCTGCCTGGACTTGGAACTCGTTGCCTTCCAAAGGAAGCTGCTTCTGCTCACTGCTTCTCGGGATTTAGAGAGTGGAGTTACAGTCTGGGGGACGGGGAGTGAGTTTCCAGGGAAAGGACATTGAGGACTGGCTAAATTCACCCTAGGAAGTTAATCTCTTCTCCTTGTCATATAGTCTCGCACAGAGATTTTTATGCAGTTCTGACATGCTCTAGGTTCCTTCATGGGGAAGGCATCAAGCAAACATTAGGCATTGTCTTCAGTCGTCTGTTCTGGGCACAGGAGATGGAAGTCGCTTTTACGCATCCCCTCCATCTAGAAGAGTAAACCCCCTGTAAGAGAGAAATCTAACGGCCCAGCACTGTGGTAACTGCAGAATGCATCCATTTTAGCTGCATGGCAAGAACAGACTGCAAAAACCATATTCACGCTGAAGACAAACTGGACATAACACCTCCAGCCCTATGGAGTGCCATAATACTGAAAACCAAAAGGCTAATTTCAAACACAAAACTAAAGTTGCACTAGCTCCTGTTTTACTGGGCTTAGTGGGTTCTGGTTTCATAACCGCAGAATCAGTCTTAAGGAGGAGGAAGGACGGGAGCATCTGCGACCAGCAGGGAAGAAGTACAAGTCTGCAGTGAGAAATCCAAGTGAGTGCATTACCCCCGCTATTTTTCCTCCGCTGGCTGCTTTTGTAATGCAGGGTGCTTCTATTGTATCACCAGCTTAGTCGCTGGCTTGTGCACAGATACCTGATCTGCACCACGGCAGTCCATGGGAACACTGCCATTTGTTTTGAGGTGGAAGATCCAGCTCAAAATATGTTAATCTGCAATACCTGTTCCTCTTGCCAGCATATCTGTTTACAGACCAGTGACACTGTAATGGAATTGTTAATGTCCTTTATGCTGTTTAGTCACCGGTTGGCACCTAGGAGGCTTCTGGAGACGCACAGTTACTCACGGACTTTGACTGATGGCAAGTTCAGCCCTGTTTTCTATTCCCGTATTGCCTGAGAAGAGGTGACAATATTTCTTTCCCTTAAAACTCTTATTATCTGAAACTGCTCAGCAAATAGTTGGTGCAAAGCTGGTGCACAGTTGGTGCTGTGGGTTCCTTGCCAACTGTTTGCAGCGGACATTCATTTGATCACTTGGTGTTTGGAATTTTTTTGCTTCATCTGCAGACTGAGCAGCTCCATTACCTTGCGGAGATCCAGCTCTCTCAGTTTTCCCAGTAAATTACTTCTGCCCCTTCCTCAGCTGAATTCCATCTGCTCATCACAATCAATATCATCTCCTTAGCTGAAACGAATCCTGGTTTAGAAGTATTTAAAAGTAAATCCTAACAAGAGCCCAAGCTGAGAATCAAAGTACAGAGGAACTAAACTGGCTCCTGTTTACCATCAGTTTACTATTCACTCTGTTTAAATATGTGATCCCTTCCTGGCCCCTATCTGGTTGCAAACTCTACAGAGTGAAGGCTCTTGCCTGCTATTCAATCTTTATAGTACACTAGTACAGCGTGGCCTCACCTCATATCAATTGCCAGGACCTCCTGTAACACAAACGAACAGCAACATTTCCATCAATCAAACCTCACCTAAATGCATTTGTGTGAGAAACCAAAAAGAACAGATGAGAACATGATTGATTTGAAAAGCTGCTGAGACGTAGTGTGAGAATATTGCTGTCAGCAAACCGTTCTGTGGTGATATAGAAGAAATGACGAGACATATCTACATACCCTAGTACAGTTTAAATTAGAAAAACAGCTGTTTAAAGGAAATATCAATGCTCATTTAACTTTCCCAACACTATTTGCATAGCTGCTCTGTGAACACAGCTATCAGATTAACTGACGAATAAAATGGATTCTTCCACTTTCCTCCATAAGTTTCTATGAAAAGATGACTGTGGAAGCAGAGTTGTAGCTCTCAGATTCCCAGGAAAATGTAGAGCCAAAATCCCACCTGTTGCTCGGAGGTCTTTTAGCTTCTCAAAATCATCATCGAAGTTGGCAGATGTCTTGTCCTCATCTGTGTCTGACCTGTTGGCATCACCCTGTGGAGAGGAGAAGGATAATTAACAGACCCGATCCATTTAAGCTGTAGCACAAAGGCCCTTTGGATTGCTGAGCAGCTCAGAGATACCTCAGCTCCCCATGGTCAGTTTAACTGTGACCCCAAGAACTAGGAGGGCAGAATGCCAAATTCCCTCTGACGCTGTCCTGGGGAATGACCCCAGCTACGTCCCTCTTCCTCGTTTTGATTCATTTTTCTACTTGGACAGAAAGGATGATGCTGTGATTGGGACTGCTGTTCCTGCAATGTCGTTGTGCTTCCTACACTGCGCCCAGCCTCCCTGAACAGTGTATCCTTGGGGAAACATGAAAGAGCAGCTCTCATCAGAGGAGTGACTAAGAAAAATTGGCATTGTGGGGTTCCATATTTGCACCCTCCATGGTCCCAGCTGAAAACACTGAGGTTTTAATGTCAAAGGATGTCGAAGGGTTTTTCTTCTTTATTTGACAGCACTGTAAATTTGACTTAGATCTGAAAACCCAGCCCTGATTTTCTTTCTTCACGCTGGCTGGTAATCGAGATTGTGTTGGGAAATCTCTTGGCAACATTGAAGCTGAAGCAGAAGGGAGTGAGGCCAGCTTGCCTGACAGCACAGCATCATCTCAGGACAGAGAACAGCCAGTCACCCTCAGGCTGGCCTTCCTCCTGGAAGTCCAGGTACTTTTCCCCTTCATACATATCTGCCCTTGCTACAGAAAATGATCAGCCTAAATAACGTAGAAGCCAGGGACAGAAGAGCTACTGCCAGGTTCTCCTCTGCTGGGGGAGGTCTGCAGAAAGGAGAGATTCCAGCAGGCTGTTGGCATGGCTCTGGCTTGATCCATCAAGACTGCAGAAAAGCTGTGTAAATTGATAGCAAATGGTTGGATTAAAGCAGCTGATCCCAGAAAAAGGAGCACAGTTCCTTAATTGACGCCTGAACAAATCACCATGGTTTCTAGAGACATGGTGCCGAAGTGGCAGTGAACTTCACTTCATCTGTGATGTATGGCTAACTGGTGCAGCCAGGCAGACAGGATGACTGAAAGGCTTAAGCTGCCTTATTCATCTTCTGTTTCGGAGCAGAAGCACTAATGCAGAGTAGATGACAGATCTGCACGATTTTGGAAGGTTTGTCTGCTCTTCCAGAGCAGCTCTGGGGTAGATTTCAAAATGACATGGGAACAATGTAAGCACAAATATGCAATTACAGTCCTGTTTGAAGTCTGGCTGCTTGTTGTCCTAAGCACAAATGTACTAAAAATGGTTTTGCAGCCATTTAAGCCTATTCTCTTCTAGGGATGCTCCTGCCAAATTTGCTCCACAGGCAGATCAGAACCTGAGATCAAGCTGAGACTGTGGACTGTGGTTCACAGTACAATTTTTAGTGTCCTTGCTGAAACACTGCAGATGGTTTGAGCTTAGAGCAGCTCTAATGTGCACCCTCTTCGCTGTACAAGTCCCCTAGGAGTCACTCTCCATCTAAGTAGCAGAAACACCTGAGCAAAGGGAGAAGTGCACCTCAGTGTCTGCTATAGCTGCTCAGAGCATCACCCTGTAAGAGGGCAAAGTCAATGAGGTCAAAATAAGAATTCCCGCTGCATTCCCAACACACCAACAGAACCAGGGATGACAAAAGAAAACCCAGCTCCACTGATACTTCTTCCTGGGAGTTGTCCAAGGCGACTGCAAACATCTTTGGTTTACAACCAGAGTTAAGATATGCATTTGTAAGTGGAAGACTTGAACTGAGCCCTGGTAGGTGAAATACAGCCCTGAGAAGGGTTTTCTGTAACACAGCTAATACCTCACTACGAGACAACTGACAAGCCCATAGGCTTAATGTCAGGATTTATAATAAATGGATGTGGAGAGCAAAATGTGCCCTGCAAACATCATGCCTGTGGTTGCTGGCCTTTTCTGAGGCAGCACTGAGTGAATAATACAAGCTTTGAAAACTACTCCTTACACACATTTAAATCATGGTCCATAATGACTCCGAAAGGAGCCATTAAGCCTGAGCAAGAAAATGACAGCCGTCCGGCTAGGTCTGTAATCCTGCACTCAGAGTGCTGTGTGAGGCTGCCCATTTCTGGCTTCGCATTAGCAGGTGATCCAACCTCCAAGAGGGCAAGTAAGGACTGGGATCCGTACCATACAAAGATACCTGCAAGCTGCCAGGTTGCCTTAAAGCAATCAGGAACAAAGGATGCAAACTGCTGTACAAGGGCTCTCTGTGCCCAAACGTAAGATCGCTTCAGCCGGAGCAGTTTCCAGCCAGTCGGGTCACACGTGCTGGGTATCATCCATTTGGGGTTTCCCTGCCATGCCCTCTTTTTCCACCCAGACTTGCTGGTTGGTGGAATCCAAGGATATCTGACACGTCTGGCCACTGAATACTCTCAGCTACCAGATGGCCAAGTGTATTGGTTGCTTCTGCATTCAGTTCAGGAAAATCTATTACTTGAGCACAGACTTTAGTCTGCTATGGCTTGTGTCATCTTCTAGCAGAACTGAGGTCCAGCACAACCACTCTGAATACAGCTACAACTCTCCTAGAGGAAAACCCCTTCTGGGCTGGAAGACAGCATCTACTGCAGAGCCTGGAGAAATACTGGCAAATCCTTTGCTTTGGTCTTACTAGGTCAGCGGATAGTATGTCCACCTCCGTCTGCAACAGGTTGCGCTAGAAGAGGAATATGGCAAAGGTGTTAGAGTATCCAGAGCAAAGCCAGGAGGATGTTGAGATTGGTGACACTCAGAAAACTACAGGAATTTGGAAATAAACAGTGTGAGCATAAGCTCTAGTCACTGACACATGGAGTATAAGCTTCTTCGTGGAAAAAGACCTTCTTGCTCTTCTTGGTCAGCTGTGCTGGATCTTCAGGGCATGGCCCACATTGTACAAGACATTAAAATGCCCACTAACACCGTGCAAAGCTGTTACTTTGGAAAGCCATGAGCTGGACTACTTGCGTCTTCTCTGTGTGTGCAGGTGGCACTCGCCACCCTCAGCATCCATGAAACAGCCCTGAGAGATGTAGATCAGGGTTGGTTTGTTCCACACTGGGCCTTGGCTCCTGTTGTTTCAATTAATTTTCCTCTACTAGTGCTGCAAGGAAGCTAGGAGGGATGTTTTAATAATGAATCTATTCAGAAATCGTTGAAAGACATAAATGTGGCTTGAGAGAAGGGAATTTTTGGTCCATGAATATTTCAATTATATTCCATTGCCAGCGAAGGTTCATCTAAGTGTGATCTAAACACAGCAAACGAGAGAATTATACCATTTCTGCTGAAATAAAGCCATTTTCTCATTTTCTTTCTGTGTGTCTCTGAAGCCAATCCAGCACTAAGAAAACTTTCTCTTCTTGATGGTTGCAGAAATAAAAAAGTAATCATTAAAAAATCCCAAAGCACGATGTAAGCTCTTTCGATGCCACTATTCTTAGCTTTAACTGGGACTGGATGATTTTTTCATAAGTCTAAAAATCATTTCCATTTGCACTAGTACTTTGAAAAAGGTAAATTTTTTTCTGGATAATATATATGTGCACATACATCATCATATTTACAACTGAAACAGATCATCCTCACTTAAAATCTCCCCAAAATGGACTTCTTGTGATCTGAAAGGAAGACAGAGAAGAGCAGGACAGGGCAGGGGATGGCTGGTTTCACTCTTTCAGGATGCTGAAAGTAGATTTTGGAGTGGACTTGCCAGTGGGGAGGGAAACTTAAGGAGCTGCAGGGGCCTCCCACTCACACCAGTACCACACCACTTACACCAGTGAGGACTGCTGCTCTGGATCATGTGGCACAGGATTGCCTGCACAGCTGCTAAGGTTCCTGCCTAGTTCAGATCAGGACATGGCATGTCACTTTTGACTGAGAAACAAAATCATTGCTCTAATCCTTTCCATGTGAGATGAGATGCCTGCAGTTTATCATAAATTCCCTGCTCATCGACCCGATACAGACATTATTTTCAGGTGTATGTAAAAATCTCTTTAGCACACATATGTCATACATAAGAAGAATCTCAAAATTTAATGTTTGCAAGCTTGCAATGCAGCTTTTGAACAGCTGTGCTTCTAGCCTCAGCTAACACACAAGGGACAGAGTCACAAGGAAATGCCTGGACTGAAAGCCAGTTCACACTCTACCTGGTCCCCTTGACAAGCACTGGCTAGATAAATTGAAGGACTGAGGCCCATCATAAAGAAACTCAAAACACAGGACATATGGGAGATCTGGTGAGTTAAATCAATCCTAAATTATTTTCTCTAGGTCACACAACAGACTCTGCAGCAGATCAACCAAAGTGTTGGACTCTCAAGTCCCATGCCAAGTCCAGTGGGCCTTATTTGCAAAGATAGATTCACCAGAGCTTTCACACGGCCAACCCAGCTCATCTACACCCCTTAAGTTTAAGTTCAGGACTGCTTGCTTAGCTAGATGTTTGCACTGACATGGATTCATCCCTACACTCTTGCCTACACGTGCTTCTCAGCTTTCTCCCTCCCTCTGCTCAGATCTCTTACCTCTGCCTGGAAGCCTTCTACCAGAATGGCCACGAGAAGGTTGAAGAGCACATAATTGCCGAAGGTCATCAGGGCCACAAAGTAGAGTGCTGCCCATGAGGATGTAGATGCCATCCCATTGTACAGGACCACGTTCCAGTCCTCTTGAGTGAGGATCTGCAGAGAGGTGAAGGGGAAAACTCTTGAATTACTCCACACCTCTCATGCACAGCAGCTGCATTCAAATACTGACTCCTCTATGTCTTCCTCTCCTTTTGACCTTTTGTGAGCATAATCATTGGCAGGTCTCATGAGATGAGACAGCAAAACATTCCTTTATTTAGGTCTTTGCATGTGAGAGCTCTCTCCTGGACAAACCTCCCGTCTCTGCAGGAAGATCTAGCACACCGCTGCCCATCGAGATGACTAGTTCAGCTCCTAGGTATGGTAACGTGAAGGGTGTGCTGTCGCGAGTCCCATTATTTGGTGGTAGTATTGCCTCCTTTGAAAACCATCACAAGATAACAGACCTGAGGCCAGAGCTGTTGTCTCCTTTCAGTCTGCTCTTTACAAGGCATCTGGAGCCGAAGGAAAGGGTAGGGGACATGATATTTGATGAGATGAATGACATTTGGTGGCTCAAGAAGCTCAGGGAAGCAAAGTGGTTTCTGTTAGGTAAAAGCACTGACAAGCTGGGCAAAAAAAATACACGTCTTTGCAAAGCTTTGCTCCAAGGGACCTTCCTCAGGGATTGCCACTCTCGCAGCTTTCCTGGAGCTCGAAAATGCTGGGGCTAAGAAAAACGGATGACAAACTCATGTTCTACATTAATTCATGTTTACAACGAAAATGGCCTCTAACCCTCCTGGAAACAAGGTAGCTTTGGGGATAGGAATGCAGTCAGCTGCACTGAGTCATGCCAGTCATTAACCTTCAGGAGATGTAGGATTGAGCCCTTGCACTCTGTGCCAACTCTGTTTCCCAAAGGACTGGTAGAATAAATGCAGAAATCCATATTGATGTTGGCAAAAAAAAAAAAAAGGGAAGCTGTGAGACTAATGCTGATTTGTCCTTGCTCTTTGGTAGGAAGGAAAACTTTGCAAGAAGTTATATTCTTCGCAGTGAAGACTCTGAACTGGACTTTTTCTAAATGCAGAGTAGGTGTCCAGCACAGCATCAGTCAGGGTTTAGAAACTTACCTTAACATTGTTTACACTGTGCTCCACTTGCTGCACTTGAGCTCTAAAGGCTGAGCTTTTAAACAGAGAAGACTAATCTTTCTATTTAGAACGTTCTGGAAATAGCAGCTTATTGCTCTGTTGTGGAGTATGTCGGTAATTTCAAGCACATAACAGATCTTGTCTGCAGAGGAAACACAACTTTTTATATAATGACTTTCCTAGCACACAGAGCCAGCGACTCCAGCTCTGATCTGTGACAGTATATGTCACTCCCAGTTAAATGAAATTGTTTGCAAAAATGTATTTTTGGGACAGCGAAGGAAAGTAAGGAGACCGAGATCTACAGAATAGGAGCAGAATGGACAGTGGACTGTGGGTCTTGATCTTACCACCTATATGAATGGAAAATAAGGGTGGACTTCCAGGCCTTCTTAGACTTGACTTTTACTGACAACAGATATGCACAGTGACAATTCTGAGTATATTGTTTCTCTGTCAGGGCTTATAGACACCAGCTAATTCAGAAACACAATCACTTTGCCCTAATAACCCTACAGTGCCTTTTCAGTCCAAATTCGACACCTACTAGAATATTTTTTTTTTTTTAAGTGAAATAACTTGCCCAGGTGGTCTACATTAAAACTTCCCAGATTATCCAGAGCTTACCTGAAATACGGTCACAATGGCCCAAAGTAAGGAATCAAAATTCTTTCTGTCTGGAACTGTGTCTCCTGTATCAGTTTTCAGGCTGAACTTGCATCCAAAAAGATGCATGCCAAGAATGCTGGAGCAGGAAAAAAGGGAGATGGAAGAAACATATTATTGTGTGAAATATGGTTGCAGGGAGGATTGCAGTGATTTTTCGGACACTCCTCCTCCCAGTGTTTTGTGTGCCAGTGGTATCTCCCAGGAAGAAGGGCTCTGCTCCACCACTGACGCAATCACTGATTAAACCCTGCCATTTAGCTCTTCTGTGTCACATTTCATTACAAGTGTCTACACTAAAGTCAAATCAAGGATCTCCTTTGTCTAGACAAACTATATTGCCAGCTCCCTAATCCAACTGGTTTCAAAGAACAGGATCCTGAGGAGCATTATAGGGTCAAACAGACAGAAGTCTTGGAGTCCGTACAACGTCCATCTCAAACATAACACTAGTAGGGTCCAGTTATCGACAGCTTCCTGAGCCACAGTTAAACGAGCCTCCCAGGAACTCCAGAGCAATTGTTGCCTGTTTGTGTACCTCATTCACCTACAGAATTACAGTACTGCATGAACAACTAAGAGCAAAAAGAGGTAAACAGTCTGTTGACTGTCTGCTTGTCAGTCTATTGTGAGCACTTCTATTGTGCAGGCAGCCTAGCAAATGCAGTGTATCATTATTCTAATCTACATATTACTTCAGTGGAACAATTAATTGAAGAAGAGCTGCATCCTCTGGTACCTGAAGATAAAGATGAAGAGCATCAGCAACATGCAGAAGGTGGCCACGTTGTCCATTGTCTTCATCAGGACCACCAGCTGGCGACGGAGGGCGGGCATGAAACGCACCAGTTTCAGCACCCGCAGCAGCCGAAAAGTGCGGAGCACAGAGAGGCCTCCGTCCGACTGCCCAATGATCTCCCAGACGCTGCAGGAACACCAGAAGGAGAACAACTCTAAACAGCAGTACTGTACCGTGAAAGTCCTATGCAAGCTGGTTTCTTACAGGAGATCACACCATTTAAGCCCTAAAGGGGTACTTTATCTGCCTGCTGCTTTCTCGCCTCTGAAAAACACCTTCACTTCCCAGTTGTGCAGACACACATGCCATGCACAACCTGTATCTTTTAAAGCTGGTCTCCCGATTCTTTAATTCCCTTGCTTTCCGTGGCTCTTCACAACACAGCGTATCTCCTGCTAGTCTGCATCACTACAATCAGTCCACAAAATGTGGATCACAATTTTGTACCAGGCTAATACCCAGCAGGACTGACATTCGTTGGGGTGGGCTGGTTTGATCAGGCCACCGACTGGCCTTTGTTCTGGGCCTCTATTGCTCCTCACTTCTCTGAATCAAAGGGATGGGCCAACTGAAGCCAAGAGCACTAACCTGGTTTACACCTTCTGTGTTTCCCCTAACTTCTCTGCCCCAAATTGCTGATTGAGGGGTGAACAGCACTGCTAGAAATAATCCCAGCACAGAGGTGCTGCACAAGCTTCTCACCCCCATGCCGTGACATCCCCAGTTCAGGCTGGGACAGTGTTCCCCTGGGAGAGGACAGCAGAACAGTGCCCTCTCTAACGCTCCTGCTTGCCCTATTCCAGCCGGAGTTACGTGTTAATTCGGGAGAGGGAGGGCACGCTGCTGGGTTATGGACACTCACAGTACTCCTTTCCCAGGACCAGCCTTTCTGCACTTCAATGGAAAATTGACCACAGTGCCAGATGTGTGGCGTAAACAGACTTTGTTCTCCATCTGCCAGGTCCATTTACTTTGGACAGCCCTTCTAATGACAGGAATCTAAAAGGCCAGCATAATTATAGCACATCATAGCCAGCGAGCCCTGGATTAACACACGCCATGTCATTCCTGTTCCCCATCCCACTTCCCAACTGGTCTGAGCCCTCGGTAGAAAAGCCACAATGGAGAAAGAACTGGCAGTGACCTGATGACAACTATGATCCCATCAAAGATGTTGTACGGGTTCTTGATGTAGCCGAAGAGACCAAAAGCAAGGAGCTTCAGGAGCATCTCCAGGGCAAACATGCTTGTGAAGACGATGTTACTGATCTCCAAGGCGTTGGTCAACTCGTCCGGCTATGGGGCAAAAAAAGCAACATGGTCAAACAGATGCACAGAGGAAATAGCTAAAGGCTGGTACATTCCTCCCACTCTGGGATTTGTGCTAATGATGCACAAATGCTACATCTTCCCGTGTTCCTTCCGGAGAGCCATGGAGGCAGAGAAGTGTCTGGGAGAAGCGTCTCAGTCCCTGTGAGTCTTACTGGAAACAAACACAGAATCCCAGCCCATTTCTGGAGCAGCTGCACAACAACCGTGCCCAATACATGGGCCCAAAAAACTAAAGCTATGCAAAGGAGAGGGCTTGCTCACTGTTGCAAGACACAATTATCCAAGTGAACAGCTAATATGGATTACAAGGCTTCTATTTGGACGTGCATTGGTCAGGCTGTTTTCATTGCACTAACCCCAGCAGAGCTTTATGAATACTGCTATATCCAAAGCAGAACCACTGTCAATACAGCATAGCTCTATTCATAGACAAACAGAGCACTTTTCTTGCAGACATCTCTTAAGAGAATTACGAAAACAAATACCAGTGAAAGTCAGCAGGATCAATAGTTTTATCTCCCTTGAGACATTTATCTCGTTTTGGAAAATATCCCCCCAAAAACCCCAAGATTATTTTTCCTTCTGAAGTCCCAGTCAGTAACGTACAGCTGATTTTGTTACAGTGACAGCAGTATAGCCCTTAGCGTCAGGATTCCCTCCAGGATCAGCCTGGGTTTCTCTGAGTGTACACGACTGCAAGCAGCTTAAATCCAAGAAGTGATTTTTCCACTCCCCTCCTCCATCTCCAGCATCAAATTAACTTGGGGTACAATCTTGCTTTTCAGACACAGCCTTAGATGTTCCTTTCCTGGGCTGTGCAGCAATGTCTGCCCAGCACCCAGGCTCCAGAACCTGGCACAGCAGGGACAGCTGCAAAAGGTGGGATGGGGTTTGCTCACTTTCTGGAGCTCTTTATTACTACTCCCTCAAACAGCACCAGGCTCTGCAATGCGCATTTCTAATACTCCAGGTCGGTTCCTTTGCAAAAGAAAATGAGTCTTTTTCATTTCCTCAGTGTAACAATATTGTCTAGAAAAAGGTGTTATTCTCATATCTGACTCATCTCTTGACTGATAATAGCTTCCTTTATTCCCCATCTGTCATTAGACACTGTGTGAAAAGTTGGCAGTTTCTTGGGGATGTTGCTGCATTATCTGAGGCTCCGACAGGAGCAGACCACCGTTATACTGTGGCACAGCCACAATTAACTCCATACTCTGCAAACTCAATGCTTGGCAATCGAAGGAGAGGGTGAAAGAGTTAACCTGAAAGCAGGAAGAGCCCACACATCCCCTACTACAGGCAGCAACAGTCTGTGGGCTGCTAATGAACCATCATTCATACGCTAAATTACTTTATGCAACGGACTGTCTTTTGCTCAACCATTTATCCAGGAAAAAAAGCACTAAGAGCCTCAGTCCTCGTGATTATAATCCATATACACTAATTACTAAGGGACACGAGAGGAAGGACTGTGCAGTTTTCAGTTAAGTCGCTAGCAAAGGGTGGCCCAGATGGCTGCACAGGGCACCTGAACAGCACGATCACCGGGCTGCCCTCCTCACACCTTCCTCGCTGCAGCGATGGCGATTCCCTCACTGACATCAATCAGCACTCGCCCATGCTATTCCCTTCCCCGACAATGACAAAATAACTCGGGCAGAGGTTTTCCCTTTGCAGCTGAAGAAAAGGGCTGCTCTAGGACGGCGTCCAACCAGCTCCACAGCGGAGACTGAGCCTGACACAGCCCATGGGCTCCCCGGCGCCTGGTCCTGCTGTAAGCCACAGCAGTGACGGGACACCGCGCTCACAGTGTCCTCGAGCTATTTGTCAGGAGCAGCGTGTGGCCGGCACGCTCGGACTCCCCTCAGCTGGGGTTATACCAGGGCATTCTCGACAAGAAGCAAAATAACTTGCTAAATTCTTGTGTCCCTCCAGGCAGCAGACTAAGGACTCCTTGGGACAGGGTGTTCATGGCTCGTTAGCGTGTTGAGGCTGGGAAATTAATGACACAATCATCAGCAAGGAAGCTGCAGCTTGGGCAGCTTTGAAAGGACAGAGTTGTTCTGTAGCACTTTCTGCTGGGAAATGAAGTGAACCTGCCTGCTGCGACCCACGGTGCCCTGTAGTCTGCAACACTGCAGCGGTTGCACCCGCTAAGGTAAAACTCAATTCAGGGTTCTCCAAGTTCACCTTGCTGCTGCCAGATGGGCTGCCAAGAGTCGCAATTTTATCTTGAAAATCGGGATAGCTGGTGATAGTTTCAAAGTCCCTAATCCTGGAATGATGTGAATACGACAAGACGATCTCAGGAGTCATTATTCAAAAAGCCAGCGTCCAGCCTGAAAAGCCTAAGCTGAACAAACTTAAAAGCATCCTTGGGTAAAGAAAAAAGAATTTGTAAATTGTTATTCTCTAAAATCTCATGTTTTCTAAGCCAACCCCAAGATTTTTCTGTGCCCTGTTGAACATGCGGCATTGCAACCAGTTAATCTGCCGATATCATTGCTTGAATGGATTTGCCGATTTCCTTTGGCAGCTGGGTGTCCTTACGGCTTGGTCTCCAGCACTGTGGCTTTTGCTTCACATACGAGTTCAGCAAGTGCCAGAGCAAAGCTGCAGCCATCTCTCAGGGAGGGGAGAGAGGGCACGAGGAAAAGGGAAAGGAGAGGACAAGGAGGTGGCCCAGATGAGATCATCAATAGCTGTGGTGAGGGGCTGACCCCACAGATCAAGATGACAGAGGGGACATCTGGGCAAGGTTGACGGACAGCAGGCTGATGCTGCAAAGCCAGTTGTGCTTCAGACAAGAGATCGTCCTTATCTGTCAGTGATCGTACTCGGTGTGAGGCAGAACTAATTCGATGACAAGGACTGCTGTAACGTGAGACGTTTGGAGCGCAATCCTGCAGCGACAGGGAGGCAGGACCCGCTGGGCAAAGACAAGGATGGATAGCCCTGCATGCTGGCTAAGCTGCTGATGGGAGCTTTTGTATTATTAGAGTGGAAGCTGAACAGCAGACGAGCCAAGCATCCAGTGATACAGCCTTCAAATGTAATTACCTTCTTTCAACACCAACTGGAGCCTAGAAAACAGCCTGCCATAGATATGTTTATGGCTTATGAAATGGTTTGTTGCTTAGAGCACAATTTACTTCCTACTTCTCTCGCTCCCTGAGGAGCAAAGATCTAGGAGGAGAGTCAAGGAAGAGACATTTGAAAGCCAGGATGGATTTGGCCACCCCCCTGGAGCCAGCCGCTAGGAGACACTCTTGTTTTGTTCAGATTGAAGCCAACCCCGGAGCAGGAATTTTTCCAGGAGCATTTTTCTCTGAGAAAAACAAAATGCTGGATTTGCTGAAAACAAAACTTTTCATAGCAAGGATTATTTTTGTCAAACTTCCTGGCTGGAAGAAAATGAAGTTGCAACAAAGCTTTAAAATTGCTGCAATGTCTCGGTTTGACCTTCTCAGAAAAGGAAATTTCAGGCTTTTTGCTTGAGACGTGGTTATGTCACAAAACGCGACTTCCTTTCTAGCAACAAATGGTTAACAAACAAAGGTTGCCATCAAAATAATGCACTGCCAACAGGGTACACCTAAAGTGGTATTTTTTGCTTTTTGCTAAATAATTCATAAACCTTAAAGACTCTGACTACTTCCCCGCCGTAGGGCTCCAACCTGTTTCAGTGCAAAGTTCCTTTTTGAAGCGACAGTGAGAGAGCATCACCCCTCATCAGCTTTGGATATCTCCACATCTTTTGCTGCTGCGATGATTGCCCTCTACATTGGTCCAGGTTTTCAGAGACAGGAGAGGCCGCACGGAGCATGGCCAAATGGCAACCAGGTGGCATTGCACGAGGCTACAGAACACCCAGGGCTCCCCACAACCGATGCAATGTGGGGAGGTGGTGGGCAATGCTGTCACGCTCTCCACAGTGCCAGACACGGAGGCTGGAATGGGAACTGCCACGCTGGAGACAGCCAGCAGAAACAAGCACAGGTACTGGTTTAAGCCACAAGTCCCACTGGTGGGTCCCAGGCAACATTCAAAACACGGTGAGACGTGAATACAAATTTTATAGATTTGAGATTCAAATGAAACCTCATACTTTGGCTGCCAGAGTAAGTTTCCCACCGCTAAAGAGAAGGGCAGAAACTCTACGGGATCAATTTGCAAGATCTCAACATCCTTGAATATGAGTTTAAAGTAACAGCCTTGACTCCAGGCAAAACATGTCCCAGGAAAGCACAACACCTCTGCTCACTTTCAAGGCCATATGTTTGCTGCGGAATATTTCAGTGATTCAAAACCGTGTTTTTGTTAGGGACAGACCTCAAACGTTTCAGCAGTTCATTCTGAGTTCAGATAAACAGACGAAAAATCCTTTTCTAAATAGTTTGGGTCTGAAAACCTCTGAAGACTAGTCTCTTTCTGAGAATCTGATACTTCTGGTTTTAGCAAGAGGCAGCAGCACAACCCCAGAGCCTTCCTGGAGTCGGGAGAAATTCAATAAAAGAGAAATCCATACCGGTCAAATTATTGATGGTCCCTGCAAGCAGAGGATGGAGAACAAGAGTAGGACTTTGCAGCCTTAGGTTCTCTTTGTGCGACTGAATTGCTGCATTTCTCACCAGTCACTATCTCTTTGTGCTTCTCTTTTTCCTCTCGCCCGTCTTCTACCTTGCCTCTTTTGATTGCTGCATCCACAACCACCTATTTTACATGGCTTAGGTTCAATCACCAGCAGGATGGCACCATGCCTTGGCTGGGGCACCTTTCCGCTCCGATACTGAGTAGAAATAATCATACCTGCATCACGCTGGAGGAAAGGGCTGTTAGACTCCTGGTCCCTCCCGCTGAACAAACAGGGAACGACGTTTCCAGAGCAAAGGATGTGCTTTGCTTCAGAAATTGCCCCCGAGCCCAAAGCAGCCGCTCGACTGCTCCTGAACACGGAGAGC